ATAACATAACATAACATAACATAACATAACATAACATAACATAACATAACATAACATTAGCAAAAATGCAGGGCCAAAATACTTTGCCTGAATTTCTATGGAGATTCTCAGTCATCCAGGTCACAGTGAGCATCTTTGCCAAAATTCCTCCATATTTTCCCCCTCTTTCAATATTCAGTTTTTCCCAGCCAATCCAGATCAGACAGCCGCCCCCTCTGCCCCTGATTTTAAAACTTAAAATGTCTCTCACCCCACAAAACGGAGAACATTCATCCCTGGCACGCCAGTAAAATTTGAAACAAAATCTGAATTCTTGGTTGATCGCTCCAATTTTGATTTTTGTTTCTTTTTTTTTTCCAACCGGCTGCTTCCTTCGGAAGGAGATTTTTTTTCCCCAACTGGCCTGGGCAGAATTCCCGAATCTCATTCCAACAGAAAGAAAGAGGTGGGGGGGGGGGCTGTCTGCTCTCTTCGGTTGCCAATAAAATCTGACTTCCTCCCCCCACTGCGCTTTTTTTAACCCTGTTCAGCAAAGGGGTGGACGGCACCCCCGGCTCTCCAACTGGTCCAGACAACCTTCTGGCGGGTGCCTTCCTTCCTTCCTGCCAGCCTTCAATGGCCCATTCTACGTCCCCCATCTCATTTCAAACCATATCCATGCGGGGTGGGGGGACCAGATTTGGGGGCAGGAGAGGGGTGAGATTCAGACAGAGGTGTCCAGGAGGAAGAGAGAGAGAGAGACGTTCCCGCTTCCCAGCACTCCCCCAAATCCCCCCATCTTTGTGACCCCTGGGTTGCCCCGGCCCAGCTGATCCGCTACGTTGCAAGGAAGCCCCCTCCCCACGACCCCCTACCCTTGCCCTTGCCCTGCCGGGGTTGAGGAGACCCTTGGCCCTATAACCTGTGCAGACCGACGCTGCCTTCCTTCCTTCCTTCCTGCCAGCCATCTAACCCGCTCCCCGTTTCAAAACCGCATCCATGCATAGGAAAATCCAGGTTTATTTGGGCGGGGGGAGACGGGGGGGGGGGGCGGACCGGGGCCCCCCCCCCCCCAAATTCCCCGATCTGCTTCCTTGCCAGCTTTGGAATGGCTTCTCTCCAGCTAACCCGCGTTTCCCCGACTCGACTGATCTTGGAAGACCCCCCCTCCCCCGCTTCCTCCTCTCCACGACCCCCGCAGGCCCTCCGACGCCCTTCCCCCCCCCCCTCGCCAGCCGGCTTTCAAGCCGCCGGCTCGGCTTTCGGCTCGGCTGGCAGGCCGCGGGCAGGCGAACAAAGGCCGGAGCAGGGGAGGCGGAAAGCCGCCGCGGCAGCCCCCCAGACTCACCTGGCCGGCAAGAAGCGGCGGCGCTTGGCAAGGCGCGCCCGGGCTCAGCCTTCTTGGATGAGGAGACTACAGCAGCTTTGGGGTGCCCGTGGCTTGGCTCAGCGGCAATTGTGGGGGGGGGCGGGGAGAGGAGGAGACAGCCAGGGAAGGGCAGTTGGCAGCTGAGCCAGACGGATCTCCGCCTGGTGCCTGCCCGAGCTTGCAGCCGTCCTGGTCGGGTGCCTTAATCGCACCCGGCCCTGCTGCGTTTTTACGCGCCGGCTGGCTGGCTGGTGTCTCTGGTGCTCCCCCAGCGGCCGGCTTGGGAAGCCCCCCCTCCCCCCTGGCTGGTAGGCAAAGGAGGGGAGGATGGGGAGGGGGGGGCTGGAAGCTTGGCTCCCGAGCTTAGCAGGGATTTTAGCTGGGGGGGGGGAGAAGGGGGAGAAGCTTCCGGGGGCAGCTGGAGAGGCGAGCCGGCCGTGGGGAGGCGCTGCGCAACTGGGCCACCCAGAGCTGATGGTGTGGGGGGGGAGACCGTCTGGTCTGTGCCCTTGCAAGCCAGGGCTGGGGTGGCAGGATGGGCGGGGGACGCAGAGCCGGAGAAAGCCAAACCCCCCCCCCTCACCCCCACCCCCGGGGGGATTTTATCTTCCCCAGCAAGCGAGTCTCGCTTTGCGTTCACACAAACGTGGCCCAACGCGCGCGAGGAGACGGGAGAGGTCGGCCACAAGGTGGGGAATTGCAAGACACCCCCCCCCAACTCCGTCCCCGATTTGGGGGAAGCAGGATGGGGGGGCAGGGATGGAGAAATGAGACAGCGGAAGAAAAAATAAAAATAAAATTCTCTCTCTTCTAAAGGTAGTTTTAAAAAGATATTTTAGTAGGGGGTCTTTTAAAGATGGTTTTTAGGGTTCTTTAAAAGATATTGCTTAGAATTTTTTAAAAGAATGTATTTTTTTAGATTTAAAAAAAAATATGTTTAAAGGTTTCTTTAAAAGGCAGCTTTTTAGATTCATTTTGGAAAGGGAGTTTTTAGGTTTCTTGAAAAGATACAGGCGGTGCTCGACTGACAGTGGTTCCTTTAGCGACCATTCAAAGTTACGACGGTGCTACTGACAAAAGGGATCCAGGCAACGGTGAATTATAGCGTTAAAGGCGGCTGGGGGACAATCAATCACCAGGAGACGGTGAGTTCTAGCTCCAGCCTCAGGCATGAAGGTATCCCCCTGGTCACGGGTCAAAACTTGGACGCTTGGCAATTGGTTTCGTAGTTATGACAGTCGCGGTAGGTCCCAAGGTCACGGGATCCCCTTTGGCGACCGTCGGAGCCAACGGGGGGGGGGAAGGAAGCTTCCCTGAACGACCTTAAACAACAGCAGTGATTCTCTTAACGACCGGTGGCGAGAAAGGTTGCAAAATGCAGGCAAAGCAATGAGCGTCTCGCTCAACGATGGGAATGTCGGGCTCGGTTGGTGGTTGTAAGTCAAAGACTAGCTTGGATTTAAGAGGCCCAGCCCTCTGGATCCGGGGAAGGGCCGGGATGAGTATATGTGACCAGCTAATAAAAGCCCAGGACATGCAGTGAGTCATGCAGAGAGCCAGCAGGCGCTCCCTTCCTGAAAAACCTGTCGGAGCATGCTCAGTCTACACCGTAGCGCCTCTGTTGTTCTTTGTTGCCACGGCAACATTCAAAGGGAGGGCGAGGGGGGGGTGCTGTAAAGCTCCATTTCGGAAACAGCTGTCAAGGGCTGAGATGCCAGCTTGAGATTTTCCCACAATGCTTTGCACCTGGAGCTATCCTGAGCTCTGAACACACAGCGCCACCTGTGGACGCCGGGAGGGAAAGGCAGCTTTCGGCCGGTGCAAAGGTGCCCCCGCCCCCCCGCCAGGTGTCCTGCTGCAGGGATGTGACGGACAGAGCGGGAGAGGAAGAGGACTTTCAAGCATGTACAGATGGCAGTTCTGCTAGTGATGAAGCTCCGCCAACTTAAGAAGAAGGATGGAGGCTGTTGGCCTATTTTCCAAAGCATCCGAACGCGAGACCCCAAAAAAAACCAACGGATGGAAGCTAATCAAGCGACCTAGAATTAAAGAGAAATTTCCCTAACAGGGAGGACAATTAACCCGCGGAACAGCTTGCCACTGGTGCGCCATCATTGGAGGCTTTAAAAAAAAAAAAAAAAAAGACCGGATAGCCCCCACCTGTCTGAAATAGGGATAGGGTCTCCTTGCTTGAGCAGGGGGTTGGACTAGATGACCTCCAAGGTCCCTTGTAGTCCTATGAAATGGTCTGGGGTCTCCTTGCTTGAGCAGGGGGCTGGACTAGAAGACCTCCAAGGTCCCTTCCAGCTCTATTCCGATCCTGATTCAGCAGTGAGGTCTGGAGTGGACTTAAAAGGACTCTCCCGCCCCCCCCAAAAAAATTAAGATAAGCAACCCCCCCCCCAAAAAAAACAACTTCAGCTGATTCTACATGCAGAGTAGAAGAAAACGCAATTTTTATGACGGGAACGGGCAGTGCGACTGAGACAGTCTCTCCCACAGCTAATTTGCTGGCAGACACACAAATTACGATCTGGCGGCGGCTTCCGGCAGGGAAATTGTGGGCATCAGCGGCTGCGCCTGGGCCTGGCCGAGGGAAGGGCTGGCGTCCGGCCAATTCACACATCACGAGAAGGCCGACCCGGGTTGGAACTCTGCATTTTGGCAGGAGTCCTGCAGACGAGCCTGGCTTTGTGTGTGTGTGTGTGTGTGTTTGTCACTTTTGTGGAATGCTTAGCACACTGCCAGGTCCCTTAGGAGAGCCAGAGGGGCTCTCCTGGCTGGGGAGGATGGGTGAGGTGGTCCGGAAAAAAATCAGCCGAACGAATGGAGCTGGGAACCGCTCAACCCCCGCAAGGATTCGCTGAAGAATGGCGGAGGGAACGGTCGTAAAACGGGGTGGGAAAGGCTCCGCTTTAGCAGCGTAAATTTGGAGCTCGGGCGTAATCCGAGAGACGCCTGTAATTCCTGTTTGGGAATCTGAGTTCTTCCACGCTGCAAACCATGTTTGAATTTTGGGGCGGAGGGCGGTGGGTGTTGAGAAGGGGCACGATAGCATCTTCCACAATTTGAGGGGCGGGTGCCCCCCTTTTCCAAAGCACCAGAAAGCAGCAACGGATGGAGACTCACCCAGGAAAGAAGCAACCTGGAATTAAAGAGGAATTTCTTGGGCAGTCGGGACAATTAACCCATGGAACTGCTGGCCACCAGAAATTGTGAATGCTCCATCACTGGAGGCTTTTAAGGAGAGACCGGACAGCCATTTTGTCTGGAATCATGCAGGGTTTCCTGCTCGAGCAAGGGGGTGGACTAGAAGGCCTCCAAGGGCCCTTCCCACTCTTCGTATTCTGTATTCTGCAGTCGTGGACTTTCTGGTAAGCACTCAGGTTTAGAAGAGGATAGGCCAGGAAGGATCCCAAAGCCCATGGGGCACTGCTGGTGGGCAGGGGAGTTACCTTGATGGCCCTCTGGTTCTCGGCACAGCCGGGGTTTTGACACTGGGGGGCGGTCTCCTCCGCTACGGCTGCTTCTTCTTCTTCTTCATCTGGGATTAAAAGAAAGAGTGGAAGACGCGGGTGAATCGGTGCGAGGCGGTTGGTCTCCGTAGACACAGGGAGTCCTCAACTTATGGCCACAATTAAGCCCCAAATTTCTGTTGCTAAGCAACTGTTAAATTGAGTTTTGCTCCATTTTGCAAGAGAAATGGAGACAGAGAAAGAATGGAATAGAATAGAATAGAACACAGAATAGAATTAGAATTAGAATTAGAGTAGAATAGAGTAGAGTAGAGTAGAGTAGAGTAGAATAGAATAGAATAGAATAGAATAGAATAGAACAGAACAGAACAGAACTGAATTCTGTTTTTGGCCAAGTGTAATTGGACACACAAGGAATTCGTCTTCAGTGCACGAGGGAAAGAAAGAAGAGAAATAGAGATGGAGAGAGAGAGAGAAGGAGGGAGACTGAGGGAAACAAGGAGAGAAAGAAAGAGAGATGGAGAAAGAGGGAGGGAGAGAGACAGAGGGAGAGAGAAAGAGAGGAGGAGGGAGAGATAGGGAGAGAGAGGAGGGAGACAGATAGGGAGAGAGAAGGAAAGGAGGAGGACAGAAAGAGAGAGAAGGAGGGAGGGAGACAGAGGAGAGAGAGAGAGAGAGACGGGCTGCCCACGCTTCCAAATTTTTCTGGCCAGACCCCCCCACCTTCAGACAAAGGCCCCTCTGTCTCCTTGTCTGTCCTCAAGCACTTAGTGACAGCTTTGCTATTGGCCAAACGGCTGAGCAAAATTATTTCTGCCCGACAATCTATTATGAATAACAAGGAAAGTGGAAAGTGACGGTTTTTGAGCCAAGAAAAAGGCCATCGAATGAGGAAATCCAGTTGCAAGAGGGAGTATAAACTGGGGGGACAATAGCGGGGGGGAAAGACCCCTAAATTGTAGCAAACAGTGTGTGTGTGTGTTGCTTCTCAGTATCGTGGATTTTAAAAAAAACACTAGCGGTCATCTAGTCTAGCCCCGTCCAGGATACGGGTCAAAGTGTTTGAATGCAGCCGCATCCCCTGGGCATAAAACACAAGCAGGAATCAGATAGGGTGACTTTGCACTTGTATTGAGCGGGGGGAAGTGGGGGGAAAGCTAAGATAATTCGGTTTTTTCCACAGACAAAGATGGATGGATTTGTTCCCAAAGGCCGGGTTTTGGGGGTGGTTTTTTTTAAAGTGAAAAAAGTACTTTTTCTGTCCCTTTGCAGAAATAAGGATTTGAGATGTCATTCCCGGCTCGATTTCCTCAGAGGTGGTCAATTTCGTCAAAATCGGTTTCCCCCCCAAGCTTGTTTTACAGAGGCTTAGTCAATTTCACGGTCTTTTGCTATCAGGTTCCGCAATTCCAGGTGTATACAGGTGGTCCTTCACTTACAACCCTTGCTTTCTCAACTCACCTGGTTTCATGCCTAAAGTGGGACTAGAACTCCCCGCCTCCTGGTTTCTAGCCTGGTTTCAGACCAGCGGTAGGAAATGCATTATTAACTCAGTTGAGGACCACCTTCATGCTTGGTCGTAAGTCGAAGATCACCTGCCCAAACCCCACAGGCGAAACCGTCCAATTCTAGCCGCCAGTTCCACCTGACTTACCCTCCAGATCCTGGGCAATGCTGAGCGTCGAGCTCCAAGAGAATTTCTCCACCAGGCCGGCCTCTGGATCCATCCAGTCGGGGGGCAGCGCCTCCAGCTCGTAAGCCCCCCTCTTCTTCCAGTAGAGAAACATCTCGGAGCCGCCGGGGACGGGAAGCCACCTCCGACTTTATCCCGAGTTTGTGCTCTCCTTCGTGATTGTCCGAAGGGGCTTTTTTGCTAACCGCTTAGGTGGGTCCCGAGACACCCACCCCTTGCACCCCCAAAGGAGCCGTTTTTTGGGGGGTGGGGGGTTTACAAGGAGCCCCTTCTTCAGCCCCTGCAAGCCGGCGTTTTCTGGGAAACCAAGTCGGGCTGAAACCCAGCAATGTTCGTCAACTTGGCCAGGACAAAGAAGCCTTTTTCTTTCGCCTCCTACGGACACCGTCCGTCCTTCAGGAGAAGGAACTCAAGCCCGAGACAAGACGGACAGACGGAGGGAGGGGGTGGAGGGGGGGGGTCTTGGAGACGGACCGGATGGGGAAGGCCTGGTTTCCCGCCCCCCTAACCCCCAACCCGAGGAGAGGCGAGGGCAAAGCCATTTTCCTTGGATGGGAGTTTGCATGACAAGCCAACATGGGCTGGCTTGCCCAGCTTGCAAAAAAAGTAGACAGATTGAATCAGCCTACAAGCTAGCATATAAAAGATTAAGCCAGCATACCAGCCAGCATATAAAAGTAGATAAAGCCAGCATGTAAGCCAGCATACAAAAGTAGAAAGATTAAGCCAGCATACAAAAGTAGACAGATCAAGCCAGCATACAAAAGTAGACAGAGTTAAGCCAGCATACAAAAGTAGA